CATGATATTCCTTCTGCAAAAAGAAATTCAATACACTGTAAAGTTATATGTGATTCAATGTAATATAAACAAGATTATGATAATAATAAATAAATAAACTTAAAAAAAAAAGATCAACATGCTCCCAAATCAATCCTAGTCCCTAAATACCAAGTGTTAAGGTGAGTAAAGAAAAAGTTTCTAAAGTCTTTGATGAAAGGATTACAAACTGGAAACTCAGATCTTGCTTTAAATTTCAGGTGCTTGAACTCTGAGTCACTAAGTCCTTGGTAAATTTATTATGGTGTCTAGAACACAATGAAATTGGAAATGAATGATCATTACATGGGCAGCAGAAGGTAAAGCAAGTGTGACGTTGGCACATTTGAACTGTTTGTCGCAGATGCAATGGCAGGAGTGGAAGCAGGACCTGGAAGCCCAAGGTGTTCACAAGATGTTTATGAAACAGAAGTTGATTCGACATTGCTCAATGACTGCTAGGATTTTTACAATATTTCAGAGAAACAACAGTTAAATTCCATTATGAAGAACTTGGAGAAGATTCTGATAAAAAAGAAAAAAAGCCATTACATTTCGAGATGTTTCTTTCCTACCTACACTGTACCTTTTGATAGTTGTGTACTTTAGCTGCTGGTAGCTTGCTTTAGATTTTTCAGTGGGTTTCACTCCTGAAGAGGACATTCTACTATATTTTGCTGAGGGACAAAATTGGCTTTGACAAAGCAGGTGTGCAAATTAAACAAGAAGGTCATGGTATTCTCAAAGAGGAAGCACTGTTTCACCACAACCTCTCACCACACCAACTGAGACAGCAGAAAGAATTCTCACACAGCAGTGTTCTCAGAACCCCCATCAATCACTTGTTTATGTTTCTTTCAACAGATTTCACCCGTCATCTGTCTTGGAATAAATAATATTAGGGATTAATTTAGTAGGGATTTTTTTGTTGGAATAAAATAGATAACTATCTCTACCAACATTATGTAGTTTTTATATGAAAGGGGTCTTCAAAAAACTCACAAGAAAATGTGTATTATGTAAAATGTATATTATGTAAAAACTATGCATGGATTTCACTTGCTTATTTTTGCACCAAAGTAAGTTTCTACTTTTACATAGTTTTCCATGAATTTTAAAGTCTCCTTGTATAAGTGACTTAGAGGAGTAGAACCATGCTGAAAAACATTGACTTTCAAAGGATTAACAACATAGAAATCAATAACATATATGGTATTTTTTCAGACCCTGACACCTTTGTTTTTCTTTTGAGCCATAAGATTTGATAATTCATTCTTTCACTCAACCAGTTCTCATTTAAAAAAAAAAAGTCAATAATTTTCAAGAAAGCAAAATTGGAAAATCTGAAGTTATAGGGTTTTTCATTCTATATTCAAAATAAATATGCAGAAATCCTAAAAAGTATACTACCAAGAGGGTATTACTAAAACTTCATAAAGTAGGAATGAAAAGGCACCCATTTACCATCCATGAATATATTTGGTTAATTTAATCTTGATTAAAATTTTAAAACTGCATCTAGAGGTAGTGTAGTAAGGGTGCAAAATACTAGTTCTACCTACTGGTACTATCATGGCTCATTGAGGCCAAGTAAATTGAAGGGTCAAGATAATTATCTGTCTCCAAGAACAGATGGTGATTTTCCTCACATTGTTTTATTGGATTGTCTATGTTCCTCAAATGTACTACATAGTTCCCAACACAGTGCCATATAAAGTCCATGGTTGAAAGAGAGACATTGAAGCTACAGCACTCCTCCTGTGTCTTCTGTTTCTGCAGTAGATGTAGACACAATGACTAGCCTCTGGCATGGTGGAAGCAGTGATCACCCTGCCTTGCTGCTCAGGGGAAGTTTCTCTTTTTGTCCAGTTTGGGGACATAGTTTGGGTTAATAGTTCTTTAAGATCTAAATTAATTAAATGGCTCTGGATTAAAGGTCTGAACACACTTGCTATGTTTTGTACCAATGAGATCAGGGAGGGGAATTTCAGTGTCCATGCTTCCCTTTCCTACCTCTGCTCTCTAGAAGCATAGACACAGCTATAGGTTGTTAATTTGGTTTGAAAGCTAGTGGTTTTGTTTGCATTTACTCAAGTTCAAGGCCCTATTCCCACCTAGAAAAGAGTATGCAGCTCCATAAATACTTATTGATAGACTGTATTTCCATCCTCAAATCATGACGTGTGCCAACTCAACCTGCAGCCTATATGGAAGACGCCCAGCCCTGCCTTAAAAGTTGCTATTGGACCAGCAGATAGTGTAATAGTTACATTGCTAGACTCTCACATGGTCAACCATGGTTCGAGTCCCGGTCTGGGTGGCTTGAAACACACTGGGCATGTTCATGCATGCCCAAGATACCGAGAAGAGAAAGGAAGAGAAGAGATTGTGACATGGCCATCCTCCTTCAGGGGGAGTGATTTCTCACTTCCAGTCTCTCTGTCTCTCTAATGAGTGCATGCACCCTATAGCAAAAATACCTCTAAAATAAAATTTAAAAAAAAAAAAAAGGTGCTATTAAGGAATGAAACATGGCTCTCTGCCTACTACCAAATGACCCAGAATAAGTACATTGTCCAGAGTCCTCCATCTGGGCCAGGAAAAATCCTATTAAGGTTTTGATGAGGGTAAAAATCAGTCCAACAGACTAGTGAGAGAAATTTTGCCTCAGTCTACAACTCAGCTTGCACACTTCAGGTGTCTCACTTAAAATGAGAATGGAATTTGGTATGATGCACACCGGATCTTGGAGTGGCAGAGACAAGATCTCCCATCATTCTTAATATAGGCTTGCTTTTAGGGGAGTTAAAAACTCAGATGCAGTATCACTACTGGTGACTCTTTCTGGCAAATGCTGATTTTCAGCATATTTACATGTACCATTCCTGTTCTTTAAAATACTAAGTCCGTCTTCTTTTCATTTCCTTGAATTATTTGTTTAATTTCTTACCTGAGGTCCAGGTAAGGTACTCCCAAGGGATGTTTTGGAAACTTTTCTTTGTGTTTTATCTTCCAAGTCATGCTTACTTTTATAATTGCAAGTGGCTTAAGATTTAAAATGGGTAAGTTAAACAGAAAATAAATATAGAAAAATATTGGCAAATGACCTTTCTAAAATGACTCGTTCTGTTCCACTGCTATTAGAAAGAGTAGCATTAAGCAATGAGTGGTTTCGATAAAATGAGAAATCATAGATAAGATTGAAAACAGAGTGGAGTGATCTTGACTGAACCCAAGCTGCTAGAAGGGAGGCAACTGAATGTGACCAAATACGCTGTGAGGCACAAGTTACTTGAGATCTGATAGCTGTGCCCTGTGCCCCCATTAGATAGGAAGCAAAGTACCACCGGGGAAGACAAAGCTGATAGCTGCAACCTCGGCCTTGCTCAGAATCACATGCTCACTCTATGGCCCCAGTTAAACAGAGCGTGAGTCATACCCAGAATCAAAGACATGAATCTATCTAGAGCAGAAGGCTTGAAACCCACCATGCCCAGGAAACAGGGGCCCTCTCTTTAGCCACATCTACAGAGATGCAGGCTGCAAAAAATATGGATAATTTTTCTGTACATCTTTTCACAACAAGTTCTGGCTTTCTATATAATTTCTACATATTTCTTTATAAATTTGATATCTTTGTTATCTAGGTTATACTTCCATATAAACCTAGATAACAAATCTGATGGAAAACCAGACTTGTATAATCTAGAAATAAAAAAAAAAAACACAAAAACTACCTTCCTGTGTTATGGACATGTGCCCATCCTCAAGAGAAGGGTCCCTTGAGACCCTTCAAATGAGAGTTGAGCACAACAGGAAACAAAGTAAGATGCTCTAGTTTAATACTACTGTAATTTTCATCTGACAGCATCTCTTTTCATAATTTTTACATTAGTGAATATCCTGCTATCAATTTTTAAGTTTGTGAAAATAAAAAGTAAACAAGTATAATGGTATAAAACATGGCAAGTATGTTCAGACCCTTAATCCAGAGCCACTGAAATAATTTAGATCTAAAAGGGACTATTAACCCAATCTATGTCCCAAACTAGAGAAAAAGAGAAACTTTCCCTGAGCATCAAAGCAGGATGATCACTGCCTCCAACAACCATGCCAGAGGCTAGTCATCATGTCTATATCTGGCCCCACAAACAGAAAACGCAGAAGGCGTGCTGTAGCTTCAATGTCTCTTTTTGTCAGTAGTTGGAGCTGCTTCTGCTTTCAAGTTGCCTTTCATGGAGAGATTCCCAGACATCAATGATCTGAAACCAAATCTTAGTTGCTGGGAGGGAGAGGCTTTGCTCCAGAAGTGTCAAGATGGAGAATCTGCTTTGAGGTATAGCTAGATCCCAGTCTATGCAAACCAACTTCTTTGTGCTAGTGAGAACCTCAACATGATTGGCAGACATCTGGGAAGGAGAGAGAAATGTTCTACCAGGTGAAGTTTACTGGTATGATCTGCCCACCCACAGGGGTGTCCCATGTAAAAGCTTAGAGCACTCCCTACCCTCAAAACTTCAACCACAGGACTACTTTACCTGATTATGGATCTTGCTCAACAAAATGGCTTCCATTTTCACACCAGTCTTTAAAACGACAAGAAAGTCATTTTAAATCTAATTGTCAAATCACAGTTTCCCTAAACCCTGGGCAGTGAAACTCAAGATTCAGTTGTAGAAATTGGGCTAACATGTGCTCTCTCTCTGGTCTCTACATTGGGATTGAAGCATTCAAAGATTTAAAATTACTCATAAATAGATAAATTCTCTCACTTAAAACTGGAAAATCTATCAGGAGGTGGAGAAAGATTTTAACTAAATGGGAGAGGGTTACAATTAAATTATTCCAATTTTCATTAATGATCAGGGAGGAAACCGAAAGTTGATTAGACTCTTACATAGTACTAGGAACTTTATAGAAGTCATTTGATTAATCCTTATTTTGGAGCAAAGGAGACAGCCTCAGAGAAGGTAAGCTCAGAGTTAACAACTTTGGTGTCTTTATTTCTGCCCCTTCCTTTACCCCATAAAATGCAAGGTGTGGACATGAAGTGAACATTAAATCAAGCATGATCCTGGTTTTTGAAATGTAATCATTTGGAGCCATGTGGCGGTTCCCAAGGCCTGGTTTCCAGGTCACACATTTAGAGCTTCCAGGCAGTTCTCATCATGACGATGAAGTACACATCGGTGTCAATGGACGCACTCACGCCAGCATAGTAGTTCATAAACTCCTCAGGGGTTACCTGCAGTGGAAAAGTTAGAAACAAAAACAAAACTTTGCTTCTTGCTCTCCATGGAGGCCCATCTTCTCTACCTGTAAACGGAGGGAAAAGGAGCAAGGAGGTTTTTGTGTGCATGATCAAGGCTGAGGAATAGATCTAAAGCTCAAGAAACAGTGGAATTGAGGACAGTGGTACAGTGGTACAGGGGGAAAGAGGAAGCAACTTTTTAATATGTCCAAACCAACCTAAATGGAAAGTGAGGTGCAGGTAGTCATTTTTAAGAGCAGGAGCCCACCAATTCAGAGAAGTGAGCCTGAAACACAGAATAAGAAACAAGTGTTCTTTAACCGTAGTTATTAATACTGTCTTTCTGTCAGAAACATCATTTCCTTGTGTCAGGATAAGCAATACTTTAACTTTTTTAAAAAAATGGAGTTCTAGCCTGTGGATAAAGAAACAGATTTCAAGTTAAACACTCCTAGATTGCAGGCATATCTAAGATATGAATTACTTATTCAAAGCTCAGAATAAGTGAAAATATCTCCTATTCTACCTGCCTCCTCATACACCACATACTCCAAGTTCTCTCTCCATTCTCAGCCTACGACTTTCTCCTGGAAATAATAACTAATGTGTTCACCTATGGAAGGATATTATATTACCTTTGGGGGGGGGAGAAGAAAAAACTGTTATCAGTCTTATTTTTAATAAATATAGGTGATGTGTATACTCTAATTCAACCATATTGGGCAGACATGATCAGTTGATTCAAGGAAACAATTGTCTTATTGTTTAATGTCAATGGCCTGTTAACTTAACCCGAAGTACGAATCTGCTTATATGGGAGGACATAGACATAACAATGACGGTCATTTTGGAAATTTGTTGTTTTCTTGTTAGCCCTCAACTTTCAGTGCTCATGAGGGTTTAAAAACATCACAAGATGAGGGACCAGCAGATGGCGTAATGGTTATGTTGCTGAACACCCATGTAGTTGACTATGGTTTGAGTTTCAAACTCAACAAATTAAAACACACGCCAGGTGCATGTGCATGCGTGCCCAAGACTCTGAGAGGAGAATGGAAGAAAAAAGATGTGGTGTGGCCATCCCCCCTTGAGGGGGGTGATTTCTCACTTTCTGTCTCTGTGTCTCTTTCTGTCTCTCCAGAGAGCACACATGCCCTATAGCAAAAAAATTTCTCAAAAAAAAAAAACACACACACACACACAAGAAGAGAAATCTATAAATTATTCAAAACCTCTTCCTAGTTTATAATAACAAATTCATTTCTCACCAATATTTTGGAAACATGCCTGCTTCTTCCAAGAATCATGAGGTGACCATTTGCCTTTTTTGCTATTATAAGCGAACAAAAAAAAATGTCACGGAATCCATAGTTCTCTCTCTTTCGTAGCACCCCTAGTCCCCCATAGAACAGTGAAATTAGGAAGAAAGGCATTAGACTGAACTACTACTACCTGAGCCAGGCTTACAGTGGTCTGTCAATACAAACAAACTGTTTATGTGTAGTGCCTTTGTTAAAAATTAGAAGACCATCAGTGTCCTCCTTTCTTGGATTTCTTTCTTCTTTTCTTCCTTCGGATTCTCCATCTGTTTTCTAATTCCACCACTAAATTGTTAAGTTCCACACATACTTATTATACTCTTTCTCTACTTCTGGTGATAGGTGAGGCATCAGGGCAATGTCTCCACATGGTCCACAACCACTTGTGTAGAATCACCTGAGATGCTTGTCCTAAAAGCAGATTCCCAGGCACTGCCCACTTCTACTGAGTTAGAATGTCTGGAACAGGTAGTTATGAAATTTTCTGGGTTTTTTTTTCTTTTATCCAAGCATCTCAGTCAATTGTTATAGACGTCACTGTTTGAGACTATCAAAGATGATTAAGATCAAGACCCAATCTTCAAAGAGCTGACAGACTGGTAGAGGAGTCAAAAAGCAAGTGGATAGTTTCAACACCAGATAGCAAGTGAAGTGATAAAGTTATACAAAGAACCATGACCATTTTAACTGCGCACTTTAACTTGACTATTTCAATTAACTGAAAATTTTTAAAACACTGACAAATTCCTTTTTAGTATCGTTATTATTGTTTATCTCTGTTTATACCCAAAAAATACAGCTAGAAATCTGATATGGAATTCTATGGAAGCCTTTGCTTTTCTGATATAGGCTCTGCCCCTTCCTCATCCCTTCCTCCTCCTTTCCTTTGTCCTGCTACCTAAACTCAGCTGTACTGTCTGAAGTTAAGCAGCCACCTTGAGATCACAAGGGAAAGGTCAAGAGTATAACAAAGATTTCAGTCCTATCATCTTTAAGCCACATTCTAAACATTTAAACATTCTAATGATGTAGAATGCAAAAGAAAACATTTCCACTCATTTAATAAAATTTTCCAACTTGCTATCGAAAGAAATCCCTCAATGATACAACAAGATATGTTTGAGACTAATATTGTCACCCAATCCCTCAATCTCAAGCTCTCCCAATGGTGCAGGGTGACCTGGAGCTGAGTTGGTTCGGAATGAAAAATGAAGAAGGAATCAGAGGTGGAAATAAAACACGTGCGGTGTAACCCCATCTGAAAGGCAGACAGGTACTGGGAGTGGCTTGAATCACAAATTCTCTAATCTCCCAAAGTTTTCCTCATGGTAGTAAGTTACTATTCAGTAATAGTAACTATTACTATTTAATTCTGTTATTTGACATTAGAATAAAAACAGGAAAATGGACACCTTGGCTTCCAGCAGACCTCTTTACTCTGCTACCCTTATTTGAGAGGGCACATATTATATATAGGGGATGGGGAAGTACACCTATATCTTTAGGAGGGGGGTGATAAAATGATCTGATTCACAATACAGAACACAGTCTCTTTTTCTCAGCTCCAAACTGATTAGAAAATCCCAAAGCAAGTTTAAGTTATCTACATACATTAGTAATATACCTAAAATATTTTTCAATTATTTATTTGTGATTATAAAGCAATATATACACATAAAAATTCAAAATCTAGATATTAAAGAAATAAGAAGTCTCTTGGGGTGAGGTTGAAGGTTAGAATACTAGAAACAGTGCAGGAGGAGGGTGAAAATGGAGGGTGTAAGGGGGGGAAATCAAGGGGAAAAAAGAAAGAAGCAAAACATTTAAGGGACACAAAAATGGAAAATTATCTGTTGATGATAATGTGTATGGTAATATCTTTGAACCAATATGTAGTGTGTTCATGACGGGAAAATCCGTGTGGTATGCTGTAATGATATACAATGGTTGAATATAAATATGTAAATATATATATGTAAATGAATGCTCAAAAAATTCAAAAAGAAAGAAAAGAATGTGAGTGGGGAAGGCTCATTTCCATGTTATTTGATTGTTTTCAGAGCTCATCCAAAGGCTTCTGATTATGCTCAGGCTGCTCTAAGAGCAGCATGTGGAGCATCAGTACAGTACCGATGAGCTCAAACTCTATGACTGCTACAAACCCCAGTAAAGTTTATAGCTACTTGAGAGCTCTGCCTAGATTATTAAAAATTCACAAGTTTAAATACTGTTTTAGGCTAGAGACCATGCTCAATTTTTTTTTACATTATTCTAAATTTTATCTTCTTTGAATACAATTAAGCCATAATTGAGTACACTGACTTCCCATGTAGATGTTTCACCATAAGAAATCTTAATTTGCAAAATAATTCAATTTGTAAAATGTAATTTAGGTGCTAATTATTCTCTTTATAAAAAGAATTTACACGGAGTTCTTCTACAGGAACGATTCATATGCATTGAAAATATGATTCAATGTGCAAAAGTTTGAATCAGTCACCATTTCTCAGAAATATTTTTATTATGTCTGCTAATTGAGATATAGCTGTAAAACTCTTACTTAGCACAATGCTTAGTTTGTTAGGGGGGCTCAATAAATGTTGCCCAGATTCATTATGATGCTCAATGAGGTTTATGTGCATGTCATATTCAGGAATCAAAAGCCAGGGACTTTTGAAACTTTTAGAGCTAAAGCTCCTAAATATGAATGCATATGAGTCATCTGGCACATTTATTAAAAACATAAATCCTTGGACCCCACCCAAAACACAATTGGACTTTATGGTTCCATGGTACAGCCAGCAATCTGCATTATTCATGTATATCCCCCAGTTGGATTATGAATGACCAGAGGTGAGTATTAATAGAAGGTCTGTGATATTCAGGTGTCTTCAAATGCTGTAACTGCTGAAAACCTCAGTAATCTCTGTGAGTATCTGAGAGAAGAAGTGGCTTATTCAGATGAATGTCAAAAGGGGAGGGGTGGGGACTTTAAATCAGCTGAATCACAACAACTGATTATTTTGACTTGGGTTAGAGAGAAAAGGGCCGCTGAGGTTTCCCCTAAGGATGAGGAGGAACCACCTGCAGAAAGGAAGCAGTGACACCCTGGGATCCATGTAGAGTTGGGCTATTTGGGGGAAATGGCAGTTAGCTATTTTTCTACTGACATCTCAGAGATCAAAGGCTATTGGAAGAAAACATTCAGTTCTGTTTTTTCTGTCCCTAGGCAATTGGCTGCCCTACAGCATCTAACTCATCCCCCCTCCTGTCTCCACCACCTTTAAAAAAATCTACCTCCATAATCCCTCAGCCTAAAATGGAGGATATTTCTCCATTACCGAATGGACAATGTCAACAGGAAATAAAGAAAAGGCCCCTATCCATCATTCACCCTTTGCTAGAAGAACTTATCACAAAGTTTCATGGAAATGTTGGAGAAATTCCTTACAGAAGCAGAAGCTAAAGGTTTGTATTCTCTTCCCATAACCACCACCTCTTCTTTCTGTCCACTATCCCTCTAATCTTTTCCTGTCTAGCACAGGTTAACAGGTAAAGCACCGTACAGCTCAGCTACTGTTGTGGCCAAGAAGAGAATCCCCCTGTCCTAACACCATAATCCTTAGAGTTCATTCTAGGCTTAAAAGTTCCATTAATAGCTACTGATAAAAAGTAGATTACATTATAGAGTTATCATTCCTCACCCTGCCGAGCTATGGGCATTTTTAACTTGAAGATTAAAGTCAATGGATAAGGGGTAGGTGCTTTTGTTTTCAAGTTCTCTATAGTTCAGAAGTGCAAGTTAATGTCAAAGCATACTGAAGAATAAATCAGAATAAATTCTATGATGTCATTCCCTTAACCAAAAGCTGCTTTTTAAATGGTATAGCTAAGTATGATGACAAATGGCTCATAAGGGGGAATGTAAAAAATCACTGAGACATTTTGAAAGGCCTTGTAAATCTGTTCCAAAAAAATTGAATTATGGTCTCATTGTTAATATGTTTTATTACAGTCCCATTCATTGGAATATGCTTACCTATGTATGATAAATATGGTAACCAAGAAATGAAGTCTTTAATAAAATACTACATTCTCCAGGTAATGGGTAACTAGCTGTGTGTGGATCCCCTATGAATGCATGTGCCTGTGAGTGTGTATACATGCTGCACAAACACCCACATATTTTATTACTTTAGCTTTCAACTTTCTATATGGTCTCCTATTAACAATAAATATGATATCAATATATTGAGATTTTTAAGGCTTTGGACCTATTTGTCATTCACGATTCAAATTAGATAGAAGAAATTGCACTTTGATTAAACTTTTTTTACTTACCAGTCCATCTTTGTCATAGGGTGAATCAAAGTTATCCAAAAATTTCCTGAAAACTTGTTCCTCGGTCCATTCTCCATTCTGGTACTTTGGATGGTGTTTTACATTATACACCCCACGAAGATCTTCGATTGTTATAACGCCATCTCCAGTTTTATCTAACTTTCTGAAAGCTTGCATAATTACCTCTTTTCTGGCTCTAGACATTGGAGGCTAGATAAATAAATAAAAAAAAATATGTGGACATACACAAGAAAATGAGGTTTTTTTTATATCATATGTGATAAAATATCCTGTTCACATCAATGATGTGAAATAGTCTGTGTGCAGTTAAAGGACATGCATAACAAAGACTCCAAAAAGCCCCTGAATCTTTTCACAGTCTCCTGCCCATACCCTCTAGAGTGTACTAACAACTTCTGAACACAAAACCTCAAAATAGCCAACCTAAACCACGTGAAAGCCAAACTCAGCAGATATGCTGATTCATGAAGTCACTTACTCTTAATGTGAGAAGAAATTCATTGAAATCTATTGTTCCACTTCCATCTTTATCAAACTTCCGGAAAAGCTCTTCAGCCTCTTCCTTTTCCATGACCACAGCATAATCATTTAATCCTTTCACAAATTCTTTGAAGTCAAGAGTTCGATTGTTATTGTCATCCATAATCCGAAATACTCTGAAGAAAAAAAATTGAAAATTATGCAAAAAAGTGGAAAGACATACTATGTTTCTGGATTGGAAGAATTAATATAATCAAAGTGTCAATTCAACCCAAATTAATCTATATATTTAATACAACTCCAATTAAATTACCAGAGACATTCTTCACATATTTAGAAAAAAATCACAGAATTTGTCTGGAATCATAAAAGACTCCATATTGCCAAAGCAATACCACACAAGATGAGTAGAATAGGAGGTATCTCACTCCCTGGCCCCATAATATATTACAAAGCTGTTTTGATTATCAAAACAGCATGGTACTGACACAAAGCAGGCATGTAGACCAATGAAACTGAATAGAAACCACAGAAATAACTCTAAAACATATAGCCAACTGATTTTTGACAAAAGGCACCAGACAATCCACTGAGGAATAGAAACTCTCTTTAGCAAATGGTGCTGGAAAAACTGAGTATCCACCTGCAGAAAGATGAAACTAGATGCCTATTTCTCACCACTAACAAAATTCAACTCTAAATGGATCAAAGACCTAAACCTAAGCCCTCAAATTATAAAAATACTGGTGGAAAACACAGCGGAAACTCTTGGAAACATCAGAGTAGGCAAAGAGTTCTTAAATAAGACCCCAAAAGTGATAATCCCAAAAACAGACAAATGGATAACATCAGATCAAAAAGCTTCTGCACAGCAAAAGAAACAGTAATTATAGTGAAGAGACAATCCTCAGAATGGAAGATGATATTTGTAAACTATGCCTCGGATAAGGGACTGATAACCAAAATACACAGGGAACTCAAGCAGCTTAGCCACCCCCCCCCAAAAAAAAAAACAATCAACCTAATTGAAAGATGGGTAAATAAGCCGAATAGAAAATTCTATGTAAGACATATGAACAGCCAAATAGTTTAAGAAAAAATGCTCCACATCACTTAACATAAGGGAGATGCAAATCAAAACCAGATGAGATCCCACCTAACCCCTGTCAGAATGGCTAAGATTTAAAAAATATAGAATGGTAAGTGCTGACAAGGCTGTGGAGAAACGAAAACTCTCCTACACTGTTGGTGAAAATATAAATTAGTATAGCCACTGTGGAGAACAATATAGAGATTCCTCAAAGACCTACAAATAGAAATACCATATGATTCAGCAATTCCACTCCTGGGTATCTACCCAAAGGATAGGAATACACGCAGTCAGTAAAACACTTGCACATGAATGTTTACTGTGGCATTATTTACAACTGCTAAGACATGGAACCAACCCAAATGTCCACAAACAGATGAATGGATTGAAAAAGTGTGGCACATATACACTACAGAATGCTACTCAGCCACAAAAAAACACAATGAGACCCTGGTAGTTAATGAAAAGCAGATGCATATGGAAGATTTACTGCTAAGTGAAGAAAGCCAACTATTAAAGAGAGGCATTGTATGTTCCCATTCAATATATATTGAATGTCTGACTCTATGGCAGAAACTGAAAGATTGGAAGGTATAAAGGCATGGAGAGCAATTGTGAATACTAGAGACAGTGTGGGAGGAGAGAGGGGAAGGGAGGGAAACATGGGGGGAAAAGAAAGAAGAAAACATGTAAGGGACTCAAAAATGAAAAATTATCTGTTGATGATAATAAGTATGGCAATATCTTTGACTGAACCAATATACAGTGCATTCATGATGGAAAAATTCATTTGAGGTGTATGTGTATACACACACACACACACACACACATATACACAAGTGGGGGGGAGGAAGTCCCACAAGTTGTAACTGTAAAGATTTAAAACAGAAAAACTCTTTCAAAGTTTTTGAAGTAAAATACAGAAGTCTTAGATTCTTCTCTGCACTCTTTCTCCCAAATTTGAAGAGCCTCTTTCCAGACTATAATTAAAAAAAAAAAAACTTTAAACACACAAACACAGTATGAACACATGTACAGTGTATGATTCTAATTATGTGATACTATTAAAAAAGGCAAAACTATGGTGACAGTAAAAAGAGGGAGGGGTAGAAAGAGGTAAATTGATAAAGCACAAAGAATTTTTAGGGTAATGAAACTATTCTGTGTGATACCGTAATTGTGGATATAAGACATTATACATTTGCTAAAACCCACAAAACTTCACAGCACCAAGAGTAAACCTTAATGTTTGCATAGTTTTTTTTTAAGTCATTTGGAAAGTCAAGGCATCCCAGGAAGGAACACACATAGTGACAAAAAACCTCATTGTATTACAGAAGTATGAAATAACATCACTGAAAGGAGTGGGGAAAAAAAGTGCTGAAATGATTAGAATCTGCAAAACTAAAGGAAATAAACACATCACTATAAGTTATCTGAAAGCATCATTTCCTATAGAAATATGAATTAACAATTCTGATATTGGTTACATATAAAAATATTTACAGAGAAACCAAATAGTGGCACATGGGTAAACATGATGCTCTGTGAGGCAGACCTACATGGGAAGGTTGCTGATTTATGGACCGAGACCTTCCTTAGGATCCTAGCACATTTGTGCTCTTGGGGGTGGATCGCAGCCTGAGGACCCTGTTGGAGATGCTGTACTATATCTCTTTCTCATTCTCTTTCTCTCTCTTTCACTCATTCCTTCTGGGGTAAGTGAGTATACTTGATATACTTAGAAACAATAACAACCCTATAATAGAAAACACACCTAGAGCCTAGGTCTTTTTTTTTCATACCATTCTCCAGTAGGAAGAACAGGATTCCTTAGAGAAACAATTGATTCTAGGATTGGAGTATGAAATACTGAAGATGAACTTGAGGCATCTTGTAGTACTGAAAAATAAGAAAGTGCTAAAAAATAAATAAATTTTAAAAACCATATTGATGAGACTACCTCAAAGGGACACAAAAGTCAACTTAAAAAGCTCCCAAAGTGGGAACCAGCAGTTAGCGTAATGGCTATGTCGCAGGACTCCCACGTAGTCGACCACGGTTCGCGTACTGGACCCAGTGGCTTAAAACTCAATTCTTCCGGGCGCGTGTGCGTGCGTGCCCAAGATCCTGAGAGGAGAATGGAGGAGAAGGGATCGTGGCGTGACCATCTCCCCTGGGGGGTGATTTCTCACTTTCTGTCTCTTTCTCTCTCTGTCTGGCGAGCGCACACGCCCTATAGCAAAAACCTCTCCAAAAAAAAAAAAAAAAAAAAAAAAAGATCCCAAAGTAATTCCCAAATCCAAAATAATTTGATCAATAAAATTTTTAAAACTGGGTCATAATGGTATTGTGGTTTGGATGAAGGTTTGTTCCCCCAGGACCATGTTTTTAAATTTGGATGTCCCCCACAAATCCAGGAGTTGGGGCTTAATTGCAATGTGAAGTGAAAATTTCATTCTCTTGTGGTATTGCAAGTTAAGGTCTTTGAGACTTTAATGTCACTATGGAGGGGCCTCTATGTTTGAGTTATGGTGGTTATCAGAGAGAAAACCACATAGACAGACATTTCACATTCTACCATTTTGTGCTGCCCTTGGACTTTCTAGCCACCTGAATTGTGAGGTATTATGTTTCTACTTCTCTCTAATTCATGCAGCATTGGGTATTTCTATTAATGACCTAAAAATTAACTAAGACAAGCACAAAGTATAAAATAAATATCTAGGAGTCCATAGTGGTTTAAATAAATGATAGACTAAGTAAATAAATGGGAAGAGAAGGCAAATTTCCCTTGCAGAAAATCTTCAAGTAAGCTATGCATATACTCAGCCCTCAAGGAGGGAAAGCACACTCCCTAATTCCTAAGTGTAGGCCCTGCATCAAGGCTTTTTTCCAAAAAATACAAAATGTAAAGGATTAGGAAGAGTAACTTTACATTGAAGAAGTCTGACAGTCTCTACTTCGAGCAGGTGATGAAGCTCAGCATCAGCATTAGTAAATCATGCTGATAGTATGTATTCTTGGTATGATGTGATAAAAATGGCACTTTGCTTCTGTGATACCAAAAACCAATAATCCCAATCTAATTTTTGTAATTAAACAAATCCCATTAGCGGGACATTCTACAAAATGCAGGTTGAGTATCTTGCATTCAAAAGTCTAAAATCGGGACCAGCAGTTAGCGTAATGGCTATGTCGTTGGACTCCCACGTAGTCGACCGTGGTTCGAGTCCTGGACCCGGTGGCTTAAACTCAGTGCCGGGCGTGTGTGCATGCATGTCCAAGATCCCGAGAAGAAAAATGGAGGAGAAGGGAATGTGGCATGGCCATTCACCCTGGGGGGTGATTTCTCACTTTCTGTCTCCCTTTCTCTCTGTCTCTCTGGCAAGTGCATGCACCCTATAGAAAAAAACTCTCAAAAAAAAGAAGAAAAAAAGTCTAAAATCAAAAATGTACAAAATCTGAAACTTCCTGAGTGTCAACTTGATGCTGCAAGTGGGAAATTCCACATCTGTCTTACAAAACGCATCCCAGTCAAAATGCTGAAACACAAGAAGACTGTCTAAAATTTCCTTCCAGCAATGTGTATGAGGTGTACATAAAACAGCAACAAAAACGTGCTTAGATGTGGGTCTCATTCTCAAGATAATTCATTATAAATATAAATATATATTTATATAAATATATATGTATATACACATAGTATACATATACACATACATGTACACACACACATATATTTCAAAATTTAAAAAAAAAAACTGAAATCAGAAATATTTCTTGTCTCGGGGACCAACAGATGATGTAATGGCTATATCACTGGACTCCCATGTAGTTGACTGTGGCTCAAGTCCCAGACCCGGCAGCTAATACTCACATTGGGCACGTGTGCATGTGTGCCCAGATCCCCAGAGGAGAAGGGACTGCAGTGTGGCCATCCCCCCTGGGGGTTGATTTCTCGCTTTCTGTCCTCCTGACTCTCTCTGTCTTTCTGGCAAGCGCATGCACCTTTTAGCAAAAAAAAAAAAAAAAAAAAAAAAAACTCCAAAAAGATATATATTTCTTCTCTCAAGCATTTTAGAT